TGAGAGAAGGGAAACTAAGGCAGGAAGTGCATGCAGCGCCACATAGCTCAGCAGGAGGTGCCATAGGGCAGGCATGCCCCACAACACTTCACAAAACTCCCCGGTCCTCAACAATTTATATATGTTAAATATAAATATTTTATACATTATAGTGGCCTGACAGCACCACTATAAACAGAAGTCATGACACAACACTAACTCTAAAGGTAGACCTTTCTAAATCCTCTAAAATCAGCATGCTTAGTTGGATTCCTTTTAAATTTAGAATGCCTGAGGAGGGTGCAGACTAGGGTTAGTGATTCAAATTTGGAGTCATGTAGAGATATAAGCCCCCCCGAAAAAGCCATTATTTTCAAAAAGTGTCTAGGTCTGTTTTTTTGTGTTTTGCGCAGAGCTAGAGCTCAAACTGCTGACGTGATGCAGGTCAAAATGGTCTCAGTCTGCCGAGTTTTACCCAGGATAGTGCACTGCACCCACTAAATCTTTGAGGAACTCAAACTGAGAACGCTATTTAAGAAAATGTACATTTTTACAGTGTGCATGTGCCAATAGAGAAAACAGCTAGAGGGTTTCCATTCCTGCCGTTTTATATGCTTTAAAGCTTGACTCTTGTAAGTGATCTAAAATCCAAAGCGTTACTTGGCTTGCTTTGAAATTTGGTGTACCTCTTGGGAGTTTGGGGGTAGCATTAGTGATCCAAATTTGGGATCATTTGACTAAGGAGTTCCTAAATTACAGGACCCCAAAAACCTTTGTTCCTGCTGCCTTGTACTGTTAAACTTCGAGATACAAATGACTGGATGAATTACCTCTTTGACCTCTTTGAGATTGAGAATTCGTCCTTCAATTAACATAATTTAAGGATAAATTAATCACAAGCCCCCACCTAAAACAGAAGTAGTTTTGTACTGAGTGGCTGGAACCTGTTGCAATTTGAGTCATGGGTGACAGATTTATTTTGGGGAGAACATAATCCAAGTCTTTGGGAGGCAAATTAGACATGTGAATACTTCTTGAGAGGGGAGGCATTTTTGTGGATGGAGTAGTGAGGGTATAGGGGGAGATGAATTTGAGGCTGCAGCGAGGGGAGGGGGGTCCTGGGGAAGAGGTGGTAGGGGAGGGGAGAGAGGTTGAAGGCTCAGATGAGGGAGGTGTGGGAGCTCGGGGGGTAGAGGGATGGGACACTGGGAAGGAGGACATGGGGTGATTGACAGTGGAACTGGAGGAGAATAGGGGAAGGTGCACGTTTCAGCCCCACATCTTCCCTCCTGTGTGTGCGTGCCCACGTCTGGGGGGGGGGGCTCTTGTTCCTTTTGGGGGTCTGAACCCACTTGGTGCTCCCCTCATATGAGCTGGCATATGGGAAGCTGTGGCACTCTGGGTGTGTCTGAGCACCTCTCACTGCTGTATGTTCTAGGATCCAGGGGCTCATACCTATCTATAGGAGTTGAATCACCCACACCCCGTTATTGTGAGCTGGGCTCTTGTGGGGGTGCTGCCCTTTTGGGAGGCCCCCCCACCTGCCCCCCATGTGAGCCAAGATCTGGGGAAGTCCTACTCCTTTGGGTGGGGAGATAAGATCAGGCATACTTTATACATATCACAAGCTGTAAGCACAAGGGGGATGACAACATCCACTGAGGTAAATGGAACAATTCACGTGTCCCAACTGTTGTTTCAGATTGTATTCATCTCCATGAGGTGTTCTTATCTGAGAACATCACATTGAGATGAATGGGCCACTTCACCCCTTTGAGAGATTCCAATGTTGCAGATAGATGCGTAGAGGAGCACTTTCTCTCTTTCCTATTTAAAGGATGATGCTTATAAAAGCTCTAAAATATGCATGCTTGCACAGATTTTATTGAAATTTGCTTTACGTCATGGGAGTGGTGGTTAGTTAGTGACCCGAATTTAGACTCATTTGAGTCAGGGGTTCTGGAGATATAAGACCTGAAAAAATAGCCATTGCCCCAAAAGTTTCTAGATGGCTTTTTTTCCCCCCCAGAGCTAGAGATCAGACTTTTGCTATGATGTTGGCCAAAATGATCTCAATTGGTCAGTTTTTACCCAAGGTAGTGCATGGCAGCCACTGAATCTTTGGGGAACCCAAATTGTGAATGGCATTTAAGAACACATTTATGTCTTTGCTTGCGTAGATGTGCAATTTGGAAGGATTACAGTCCACAGGTCCCAATAAAGAAAAAAATAGTGGGAGGGTTCCTATGCATCCATTGTACGCTTAACTGGATAGTTCAAGGGAATGTGCTGATGCTATTGCCCCGGGTGACTACCCTGCCATTTCTACTCTGAACCTTTGTACATATGTACAATAAAGAATGATTTAATAACTCATATTTCTGTTATTCCAACTGCATCTTGGGAAGTTTTTTTAAGGGTTTTTTGTACTAAAGAAATATTTATTGAATGTTTTATGAATTTCAGAGCGAGAGCTCTGCATAGCCTTTTTCTGCAACATTGATGTTATATATTCCTTTATCCAGTATAATGAATGCATACTTTTGATGATGCCTTGTCTAGAGCTAATTTATTTTTTAATTAAAGTTTAGATCCAATATTTTGTTGAAATCACCCGCTAAGATTATAGATTCAGTATCCATACTGATTTGGCCCTTCTTGATTTTATCGATCCATTAGAGGTAACTGTGCAGCTAGTTGATGTTTGCAATGAAGAAGATATATTTTGGTGTTCTGTACGCTGTCAGCCTTCCTATTGTGAGACTGTGATGTTTTGGGGTTCAACTCAGACCAGTAAGGAGTTGTCATCAACTGCCTTGTAATCCTAGCTTTGCTGCTGTGGCTCACAGCCTGGATACCAATATCCAGCAGACAAGCATGCAGTTCCCTGAATGTCTGTGTACTGTGCAGCTCTGATTCAGCAATCTGACCCCAACAACCTGCCCCACCCTGGTCTCCATCAGCCTTGGTTACTACTTGCAAAGTGACCCCACTCCTACTCCAGAACGTCCCCAAAACTGGCTGCCCTGAAGTGCCCAGCCCTGTCCTGGAACACTCAGACAAATAATAAGGTTTGTTGCGCCTTTGAAGAGACAAAAGCACCGTTTATTACTTCAGCTGGAGTTAACAATCCTTTCAATTCAACCAGAACACTGGTTTGGTTTACATTAAAAAATAAATTAAGTTCACTAACAAAAAGAGAGTTTTTAAGTGAGTTCAAGTGCAAGGAATAAAGACCAAAATGGTTACAAGCAAGTAAAATTAAAATATGCTTTCTAGTGGCTAAGCCTTAAAAAGCTACAGTCTTGGTTCAATGTAGATTCCTTACCAGTCTTTCTTCTTTCCAGCCATGGCTGATTTCTCTGAGTGAGGTCCTTCCACAGAAATATGAGGTGCTAGTTTCCCTAGTCTTCCTAGGTGAAAGATGCCCAAATGGCTCTATGTATCCCCTTATATCTCTGAGTTCATTAACCCTGCTTCAAGAAGCAGGATGACTTCATGCTGTTCTTCCCTGCCTGTGTGTTTCCCACCCCCTGCTGATTTTTATGTAAATAGGGCTTCTATTGTTTTGATTCCACAATGCTACCTTTGGGGCTGAGGAAAAATCTGTTTCTCCCTATGTTTGGTCACAGACTTTAAAGCATATTATTAGTGAGTATTCATTATTCTTCACAATGATATTCATCACCAGTGTGTTACAGGCTTTCATAAAACACATTACTTGATACACTTTTATAATACAGCAGCATTGTATACAATCAGTTGATTCAATTGCTTATCATTTGAGGTTCAGACCCCTGCAAGAGGCGATCTCCCCCACTCGCTAGGTTCATGGCTTTGTTTACTTTTTATGTAAATACATTTTCATTGTCACTGCCTGATGACCAGGCTGGTAAGACAAACAAATACACATTCCTTTGTCTACGGCAGACTGGGCTTATGCATTGCTTTCCAAACATATTTTAAGAACATAATTCCTAAAACTCTTCGAACCTACTCCATATGTATATTATGCAAGAATATTAATGATGATTAGTGAGTCATTAGTTTTCCAATTATATATTAGATGCCACCTTTTGGGTATATAACATGACAACAGTGTGTTAAGTGTAGTGATTGTCAGGTCTGACAAGTTGCTGTCACAAAGTGGTGAACCACCATGGGCCTCTGTGTCACAGAGACTGACAGAAATCTCAGGAGACTAGAAGTTTGACTCCTGAGGGTAATTCTAGCATTGAACAGCGCTATCGAAGCTCAAGACTTGCTGTCTTACACCACTATCTTCAGACTACCAATACCATTTCCTCCACATTCCAGCAAGTGCCTTTTTGCTCGTGATTGGCAATGTAGCTCTTGTTGCCTTGACTTATCACTTCAGTTCTACATTATTATTCTGTACCCATTTCCTGAATGAAGGCAGGGAAGAAAAAGTTTTAAGAGACACTATAAAGATAGTTGAGGACAAAAGGTTACTATAAAGATAACATCTTAACAGGCCAGACAGTGGGTGTTGGCTGCAGAGTATACTTTCCCAGAATAATCTGAAACTGTAGTTGCTGAAGAACGATAGATCATCAGAAATAAATTTTTTATCTTGGAAAAGCATGCCCTAACCTCAAGTCATTGAGTTCATAAGAAGGGATTACATTTCATTTGTCCTCCCACCTTTGTCTCCCAAGACTAACCTAATAGTCACCTCTAAAGTTTGTTCTTGATACAGATATCTGCGCAGAAACCACCACTGGTTACTTTAGCTGCTATGAGATCTTAAGTTATCCTAATACAGTTGTGATAAATAGAGTATCTTGTGTTACACTGAAATTGTCCGTTTAGTTAATGAACTGTAATCTTGTTTGTATAAATTATTGCTGACCTGGGAAGAAGTTTCTGTTGGAGTTTTGTTGGTTCTATATGTGTTACAGTAACTGAAGTGTTATCAGTAACTACTTTTAGTGAAGTAAGCAAATATTACATAATTTATAAACCTAATTATTGCTTTAATTTTCTTCCCTGTGCTCTAGGATACCAGATGGTCCCATTGATCAGGGGCCAGCTGCAGGAAGGGTACATGCTTTAGAAGAGCAGCTTTTAAAGGCCAAAGAACAGATAGAAAGCTATAAGAAGCGAACAGGAGATGGTTGGTAGAGAGATGTTTTCTTTTTCTTCTTAAACAATATCACAAATGTTTCAATTTCGTCATGTACCACTTCACTGGAAATGCTGATATGTTTATGCTTTTTAATAGCAGGCATGGGGAAAGACCATGAAATATTGAGAAGAAGGATTGAAAATGGAGCCAAGGAACTTTGGTTTTTTCTTCAGAGTGAACTGAAGAAGTTGAAAAATTTGGAAGGAAGTGAACTCCAAAGACAAGTTGATGAATTTCTATCTGATCTGGGTCACCAGGAAAGGTACTAGTGCTAGTTGCTACTACATTTTTATTGTATTAAAGACTACAAACTGATTAAGATACTGGGACATTAATTAGATTCCTTGCAAAGGGGGAATTGCTACTGTCTGGATTAAAATATCATGACTGGAACATGAGCAGCAAATTATATCTGTATGTTAGGGGTCATTGAGTAAACCTTCTGTTTTGTCCATTAAGTCTTAAATAGAAGATGGAAACTCTGCTTGGATATTTTTATATGTATTTTTAATTTTGTCAGTGAGAAACCTTCATCGTTTATTATGGCTGCCTACTCATAGTTACTTTTCTCTCTCTCTTTCTATGACACCTAACAAAACACATAAAACATTTAATTTTAGATATCTTTTTTCAATATTTTAGTATGAAATGAATGATATTGTTCATCAGCATACAGTATAACTGGAATTACATTAAGACGAGAAGATGTCCTGATAATTTCAGGACTTATAGCCTTTTAAGAAAAAGCTATTTCTCCTCCTAATTAAAGGTTAACAGAACATTTAAGATAAAAATGTAACTTTCCTTTAATTGCATTGCCATCATAGTGCTGTATAGAGATACCTGAATTGTGTTTGCAGTTGAAGCTGATCCTAAGCCTTTCCCATTACTAAAAGTGTCTTTCATCTGAAATTTGTCTTTCATGTGAAATGAAAACATTTTAGTACTAGTGTGTTCATGCAGAACAAAATGAATCCAAGAGTCATTATAAATACAGTGAAAACTGTCCTTAGGCCTATTATATTTAAAAGCTTATGTTCCCAGTAGGATTCTGGTCTCATTAGTGAACAATAAAAGAAAAATTGTTTTGTTAACACAACTTACCACTGTGAAGTCGTCTCCCCCTCCCCCCTTTTTAAAACTAAATTAAGAGATCCTCATACGTTAACATCAATAGCAGTGTTAAAAGGAGTTCTGAAAAATTATCTGGTCTTACAGGAATACCTAGTAAGAATCTTCTTTTCTTTGAAATTCATTTTAGCAATCATGATTATGCTGAATTTTTCTAATAAAAATAGTATGAATTTAAAGTATTAGGAGAGCGGAAAGAGACATGGTCTACTAATTTTTTAATTTGATCCTTCAGAGCCAGCAGTTTATAGATGCATACAGTTTAAGTCAAGGGACCATTAGATCAACTAGTCTTACCTTCTGTGTCTTGCGGGACATTACATTTTGCCAAATTATTCCTGCATTGAGACCATTAAATTGTATTTGACTAAAGCATAATTTGTGTTTGGCTAAAGCATATCTTTCAGGAAGGCATCCAGTGTTCTACTGAAGACATCAAGAAATGGAGAATCCACCCCTTCCCTTGGTTAATCTCTCCCTCATTTAAAAAAAAAAAAAGTGCCTTCTTTCTAATTTCAATTTGTCTGGCTTCAGTTTCCTGCCATTGGTTCTTGTTAGGTCTTTTTCTGACAGATTAAAGAGTCCTTCATAACCAGTATTTTCTTCCTGTGAAGGTACTTATATGCTAATCAAGTCACCTCTCAATCTTCTTTTTCCTAAATTAAGCAGATTGAGCTCTTTAGGTCTCTCACTTTAAGGCATTTGCTCCAGCCCTCAAATAATTTTGTGGATGATACAGTTTTCCAGTAACAGTCTCACCAATGCCATATATAGAGGTAGATCTCTATTCCTACTCACTACTTCTCTGATTATACATTCCAAGGACCACATTATGCCTTTTTGCCACAGCATCCCACTGGGAGCTCATGTTGCGTTGCTTGTCCGCTATGATTCCAAAATGCTTTTCAGAGTCACTGCTTTCCAGGATGTAATTCTTCCATTCTTCTTGTATGGCCTGCATTCCTGCTTCCTAGATGTATAACTTTGAATTTAATTATATTGAAGTGTGTTTTGTGTGAATGGGTTCAGTTTAACAGCAGTCCAGATTGTTCTGTGTGACTGCCAGGTCCTCATTGTTATTTACTTCTCAACCAGTCTCTGTCATCTGCAAATTTTATCAGCAGTGATTTTATAGTTATTTTCAGATCTTTAATAAAAAGGTTGAATAGTGCTGGGACTAGTACCAACTCTGCAGACCCCCCCTAGAAAATCACCAATTAATGATGATTCCCCATTAATAACTACTTCTTGAGATCTGTCAGTTGGCCAGCCCTTAAACAATTTAACGTGGGCTTTATTGAGATTGTGTAGCACTAACTTTTTAATAGAATGTTGTGTGGTACTAAGGAAAATGCCTTACACACGTTTAAGTGTATTACATCTGTGCAGTGTAAGCATCCACATGGACTAGCTTCACGAGTAATTACCCAGGTCTAGGTGGGTATAGCCCACACTGAAGTTTGCCCTGCTGCAGCTTCACTGTTCCATGAACCAAGCTAGCATGATTAAAGGTAACTGCAGTCATGCCCTGTGGTTGTAAATTATACAGATTAGAAAGACTAACTACATTTTTATTGAGCATTTCTGGTGAAATTATAGACACCAAAAGAGAAGCTTGAGTTTCCAGAACCTTGATAAAAATTGTAACAGCTTGGCACATCTATTTCAATACATACTGGTTGTCAAGGCTGTATCCCCACCTTGAACTTTAGGGTACAAGTGTGGGGGCCTGCATGAGGACTTCTAAGCTTAACTACCAGCTTAGTCCTGGTCCGCTGCCACCATTCCCAAAGCTAATTCCCTTCCCTGGGAAGCTTTGAGAAACCTTTCACCAATTCCCTGGTGAATACAGATCCAAACTCCTTGGATCTTAAACAAGGAGAAATTGACCCTTCCCCCCTCCTTCCTTTCACCAACTCCTGGTGAATACAGATCCAAACCCCCTTGGATCTTAAAACAAGGAGAAATCAATCAGGTTCTTAAAAAGAAGGCTTTTAATTAAAGAAAAAGGTAAAAATCATCTCTGTAAAATCAGTATGGAAAATAATTTTACAGGGTAATCAAACTTAAAGCGCTCAGAGGACCCCCCTCTGTCTTAGGTTCAAAGTACAGCAAACAAAGATAAACACTCTAGTAAAAGGTACATTTACAAGTTGAGAAAACAAAGTAAAACTAAGACGCCTTGCCTGGCTTTTTACTTACAAGTTTGAAATATGAGAGACTTGTTTAGAAAGATGGGGAGAACCTGGATTGATGTCTGGTCCCTCTCAGTCCCAAGAGCGAACAACCCCTTAAAACAAAGAGCCCAAACAAAAGCCTTTCCCCCCCCAAGATTTGAAAGTATCCTGTCCCCTTATTGGTCCTTTTGGTCAGGTGTCAGCCAGGTTACCCGAGCTTCTTAACCCTTTACAGGTAAAAGGATTTTGGAGTCTCTGGCCAGGAGGGATTTTATAGTACTGTACACAGGAGAGCTGTTACCCTTCCCTTTATAGTTATGACACTGGTGTTCAACACTTCCACACATTTTCTCATTTCTTCCGTGCCTCTAGTTTATTCAGCAGTTTCTCATGTTTCCATTCCAAATATCATTTGAAGGAGGATGGTCTCTGGCTTCAAGTCACAATCTTGTGGCATAACAATGTTCAATGCAGATGACCATATGCAGCATGTACTGTGCCTGGAAGCCTCCTATGACATCCATGAATTTGAAATTTGTCTGAAGATGTCATCCAGTACACTCAAGAATCATGGGAAATGCCTCTAAGTCATTATTTAGGCTCTCCAAGGAGAGTCCCAGATGTCTAACACAAGGTTGCCTCGCACTGAGTTGAAGGAGAAATCCTCAAATCCAAGGCTAATTCTTCTGAACGCTGCTGGGAGTCTGTACAGGTGATGCTCACAGAAGTGCTGATTCAGATCATTCCATCAGAGGTGCAGCAGGGCAGCCAGGCCTCCAAAGTGCCCATCCAATTACCCCAAAGTGCAGAGCACTGACGGGGAGGTTTCCTCTCAGGGGTCACCACTAAAATCAGTGGTGCTGAGCTCTGCTTTTTCTGATGTGGTCAAGCTTTTGTAAAAGAGACCCCGACAGAAAGCAAGGAATTCCAGGCAATTCATAGAATCATAGAAGATTAGGGTTAGAAGAGACCTCAGGAGGTCATCTAGTCCAACCCCCTGCTCAAAGCAGGACCAACCCCAACTAAATCATCCTAGTCAGGGCTTTGTCAAAACCAGGCCTTAAAAACTTCTTAGGCTGGAGATTCCACCACCTCCCTAGGTAACCCATTCCAGTGCTTCACCACCCTCCTAGTGAAATAGTTTTTCCTAAAATCCAACCTAGACCTCCCCCACTGCAACTTGAGACCATTGCTCTTTGTTCTGTCATCTGCCACCACTTTGAACAGCCAAGCTCCATCCTCTTTGGAACCCCCCTTTAGGTAGTTGAAGGCTGCTATCAAATCCCCCCTTACTCTTCTCTTCTGCAGACTAAATAAGCCCAGTTCCCTCAGCCTGTCCTCATAAGTCATGTGCCCCAGCCCCCTGATCATTTTCATTGCCCTCCACTGGACTCTCTCCAATTCATCCACATCCTTTCTGTAGTGGGGGGCCAAAAACTGGACACAATACTCCAGATGTGGCCTCACCAGTGCCGAATAGAGGGGAATAATCACTTCCCTCGATCTGCTGGCAATGCTCCTACTAATGAAACCCAATATGCCTTTAGCCTTCCTGGCAACAAGGGCACACTGTTGACTTGTATCCAGCTTCTCCTCCACTGTAATCCCCAGGTCCTTTTCTGCAGAACTGCCGCTTAGCCAGTCGGTCCCCAGCCTGTAGCAGTGCATCGGATTCTTCCGTCCTAAGTGCAGGACTATGCACTTGTCCTTGTTGAACCTCATCAGATTTCTTTTGGCCCAATCCTCCAGTTTGTCTAGGTCCCTCTGTACCCTATGCCTACTCTCCAGCACATGTACCTCTCCCCCGAGCTTAGTGTCATCCACGAACTTGCTGAGGGTGCAATCCATCCCATTATCCAGATCATTAATAAAAATGTTGAACAGAATTGGTCCCAGGACAGACCCCTGGGGCACTCTGCTTGCTACTGGCTGCCAACTGATCATCGAGTTGTTGATCACTACCCATTGAGCTCGACGATCTAGCCAGCTTTCTGTCCACCTTATAGGCCATTCATCCAATCCATACTACTTTAACTTGCTGGCAAGAATACTGTGGGAGACCGTATCAAAAGCTTTGCTAAAGTCAAGGTATATCACGTCCACTGCTTTCCCCATATCCACAGAGCCAGTTATCTCGTCATAGAAGGCAATCAGCAGGTGGGTACATGCTGAGCCCGCTCCCCACTTCATCACCAAGCCTGCTTATAAGGAATAGCCTCAGCCAAGGAGCTCCAGTGCCATAGATTACTGCAAGGTAGGGTCTCTTATACCACCCTTACCCTGAGAGGGCATTACCAGGGGGTCCTAGGAGAAAAGGCATGTTCCTTGGCCCTCACTCTTTTTGTATCCCCACTGGTTCCCTCTATCCCCCAACCCCTGCTATGTTTCCTCCCTCTGCTCTGGTATTCCCATGTGTGGTTCATCAAGACTCTCAGCTGGTAAATCACAGCCCCTCAAGTCCAAATAAACTGGGTATCATCCCAAATGGTTAAAGTCTGTCAAAGTTACAAGCAACTTGGGTACTATAATCAGAAGTGTTAAGGAGCTCCATTCTCTGCCTATAATGTTGGATTATTAGTTAGGTTATTAAATGTAAAGTTATAGTATTTGCAGAGTAGACAAGGTAATGTTGTTATGAGTAACATAATATTTTTCATTTACTGACTCTTCTTTGCATAATTTGGGTATTGAGTGAATAGGAATCCAAACCCCACCCTACTATGAATACTGGATTTTGCCACTTGCTGTCTGCCCCCGATTGCTTTCTTTCTCCAAGCCCCTCCCCTCAAAAAATCTTGGATACCATAAAAAGTCTGTGGTATGTGGTTGTGGCTGTCTTTGATGTGCTGCTGTTCTGCCCAAATTCCCTCCTGCTGGTCAGGATGCCTTATCACATCCTCAGTATATTACCATCTTCCTGCTCCCTTCTGCTGGCCAGAATTTTCTCACCACCCTTCCCTGAACCTTCAGTTGTGACTATCCACTAGATACTAATACAATAGTCATCATTTAGGATCTGACAGATCCTAAAAAATGCTCTCCGTATTCTTTAGTTTAAATTTGTGATACTAATGTAAATTTTTTTGCATGTAATGCTTATACAATTTAAATATAACTGCTTTATACAGAGAGATACAAAAGTATGCCCTTGTGCATTGATATGAAAGCTGAACTATTGTGACTTAAATCCAGATTTACATCATGCTCACATCTCATGTCACTCTTCCTATGCTGTTACTTACCTTTTCCATAATAACATTATTTTTTAATTATAAACAAAGAGATGCTTCTTTATCCCATTTTTTTTAATATTCTACAGTTGGTTTGCTGGTGTACTAATAAGGACTATGGGAACATAGTAGAATCTCTGCACCATGACATTTACAATGTTACATTTATATAGAGACAGTAAGCTGATCTCTGATAGCATAGCAACATCACATTGTCAGAGAAGCCACATTAGGAGTCACCCCCTGATTGTCTCTTTTCCTGGGCCAATGAATTTCAGATTTATCCTGGAACTAATGGTTTTGGGACTTTTCTTCAATGAAAAATTTTGATTAGTGGGCTTAAGAGTTCTTCCACTCCACAGCCATTTACTACTGCAGTTATATATGGATAAGAGAAATATGGTAAATGGAGGACACAGAATCAGATAATGTGTACACACCCATTCTGGGCTGCTGTTTGTGTTGGAGGATACACGCAGAGAGAGGTAATCTGCACTGATGCTGTGGCGTACCAACAGTCAAATTAATTTAGTGTTGTACAGTGCATATGTACTTGTCCCCTCTTAGTTTAATTACATATCCTGTCCACAAAAAATGTTTAAGCAGATCAGTATAATCAGAAGACCTATTTAATTTCTCTTTGTGGCTTTGCCTAACCCTCTAATTTAGTATTATTAAGGTAGCTATCTAATGTTGCTTGCCTTTTATAGGTCGATAATGACAGATCTGTACTACCTCAGTCAAACAGATGGAGCAGGTGATTGGCGAGAAAAAGAGGCCAAAGATCTGACAGAGCTGGTACAGAGGAGAATAACATACCTTCAGGTAAGAAGGATAGAATAAGAGCACTTAAATCAAGAGGAAAATTTAAAAATGGGTTTTGTTGAAAAAATATTTTAGCCTACTAAAATATGCCAACGTAGTAAAAACATTCATGTAATTTAAGTGAAAGTATAGGTGCAAATGCTGTAGACAGCAATACGAGAGGATTTATGTTGTACATATGTAATATATCCTTTGTATTTATGTGTAAAGTGAGCCAGTATTTTCACACACAAAAGGACAATAACAGAAAAGGGTTTAACTGCTGTTTTAATTGTAATTGTGCAATAATGTAATCTCCTGACATATATTTTGGGGGTAGGGGGGTTTTGTGTGCTGGATCCATGATTGCCAGTAGACTATAACTTTGCCTTTTCATTCAGATTCCATAAATCTGCAAAAGCTAAAAATAGCTTTTGTTTTGGTATATTACAAGAAGTGGCCATATCTTTTGGGAGTTCTCCCACGGACACATTCCTCAATTCATCAGTGGTGTCTATGAAGTGAGAGAGAAGATACCGTACTTTACATAAAGAATGTAATTACCCATTATCAATTTCAGTGTCACTCACTGAACCATAAACAGCTGGTGTGCAGAGCCATCATTCTCATTTAAAATTGTAATAGCCCCCTCTAAGCTTATTTAATTTCCACATGTTCATTAAAATTTCTCCCATAAAGATATTATCTTTAAATTCTGATTTGATCATGTTCTAGTTCCACTTCCTCTGACTCTAACACATGCTTTAACACCTATTCTAGTTCTTTGTGAGTTCCTCAATCCCTTAATTTTCAGTGTTTTGTTTTAAAGCCCCTGTACATCCTATAGAACTTATAGAAATATCTAGTATTTTTAATATATCAAATTGTACTCCTATATTTTTCTAATATTTCTGTAATAATTGCTCTTTCCCTCATTGTTATTGTACTCTGAAGAAACTTTCTTCTTAGTATCCTTGAAAAAACTAATTGGACATTCATACTAGATATGTTGTAAGGACTTTAAGCAGAGAATATATTAGCTATCTGTATCAAACGTACCCTATATATATCATTCTGTATGTCAATAAATACCACGTGTATGCTGATGGCTCACAGATCTACATCTCCACTCCTGACCTGTCTCCTCCTTTCCAAACTAAAATCACAGCTTGTCTTTCCGACGTCTTGTGGATGTCCAACCATCAGCTTACTCTCAATGTGGCTATAACAGAGCTGTTTTCCCCTACCTTGTCCTTCCATCTTCCCCTTTTCTTAGTCATTATGGGGAGCACCACCATTTTTTCTCTCACTTAAGCCCATAGCTTGGATGTTACCTTCAACATGGTTCTCACTAGATCTTAACATCAAAGCTGTGCCTAAATCCTGCTGCTTCTCTTCTCTCTGCATAGCGTCTTTAAGATCTGGCCTTTCCTCTCCAAAGCTAAACGGTGAGGATCTGTACAAACGATCTTACATCTTGACATTTGTCTCACCATGACAAATGCATTTTGCTTTACTTATGTCCATTCAAAACTATGCTGTAAAGATCATGTTTCTGGCTCATCTCTTTGACCACATCACCCCTTTCTTTGGTTCCCTCCTCTGGTTCCCCCTGCTCCGCTACATCAAATACAAGCTACTAATCTTTGCTTTTATGTCCCTTAAGAGTTTTACATAATGATGTTGGGAAAACTTAATCACTTGTTGGTTTTATAAAATGAAAGGAAACAAGACTAGGAAGGAAGAAATTTTGGCTGATTTACATGTATTGCCATTATCTAACGTAATTTTTGTAGAACTGTTAATTAAAGTAGCAGAAATCTGTTTCTGCTACTCTACCTCTGATTTTTAGAAGCTAAAACTAATGTATGGTAGGGATAATATTTTAGATCTGGTGGATATTTCCTAGTGGAATATATACAAAAGAACTGGAGATAACACCATGGGATCTACTGTTCCTCCCTTTATTATTGATTTAGATTTGCAGCAAATGGAACTCCAGGTGATTATAAAAATGTCTTAGTGACATTAAAAAGCGACTAACAGAAGTATTGGAGCATAAGCTTTCGTGGGTGAATGCGTCTGACGAAGTGGGTATTCACCCACGAAAGCTTATGCTCCAATACTTCTGTTAGTCTATAAGGTGCCACAGGACTCTTTGTCGCTTTTTAAGATCCAGACTAACACGGCTACCCATCTGATTAGTGACATTATTAACTTAAAAATATGTTGTTTTAAAATAGAATTCTTATATTACTCATAATACTGCACAATATTCCAAGTGAAAGAATTTTTAAAATCCAATATATTTGCTCTTTGTTTATTTTATATATTTATCTAAGTTTGGTGGAAAACATCAATAAAGTCAGCTTTCCTTTTTTTTATAGTCTGTTTCACTTTCAAGTTCTTGGTGCTGTAGTGATTCAGACAATACAGTGAAATGTTTGTTTTAAAACAACTGTTTTTGATTGGAATTTTAAAATTGTGAAACATTTCTATCAGTCTTACTTTTTTATAAAATACTATTATGAAATGTAATAGGCCAAATTTAGGTTGACAGTGTCTCTTTTAATGTTCGTCATGTATAACCATCCACATGGAATGATGAGTTGTCTTCATTCTTTCATAGTTTCTCAGGTAGAAACAGTTAGAAAGCATGAGTGTAAATGGTTGATATGTTCTTGTAAACACTCCTCTTCACAAAACACAGACACAATGACAACGCTGCTTGTTTGCCATTTTGGAAAGTTGATAAGAAACTTTTTCATTCCTGGTCTACTTTATTCCTTCTGGTATTAATGCCTCAATAGAGTCAGCAAATTACCAGGAGAGAAGTCCTCAGGAGATTTCTGCCTTATCCACAATATCATTCGGAAATTCACTGAGGGATTTTATGTAGATACTTCCTTTAAATAGACTCTCAAGACTACATGTAATCAGAGGTGAAAGTAAGTCGGTACGGTATGCCGTGCCGGACCAGACCGGCTTCCCTAGGCTGACGATTTAAGAGGCCTGGAGCTCCCTGCAGCGGCTGGAGCCCCTGGCCCTTTAAATCACCGCTGGAGCCCTGCTGCTGAGACCCTGGGGCTCCGGCAGCAGGGCTTGGGTGACGATTTAAAGGGCCAAGGGCTCCGGACGCTGCGGGGAGTCCTGGCCCTTCAAAGCACTGCCCAAGCCCTGCCGCCGCTACCCCGGGGCTCAGGCAGTGGGGCTCGGGCGGCGATTTAAAGGGCTTGGGGCTCCCCGCCGCCGGAGCCCCGGGCCCTTTAAATCCCTGCCTGAGCCTGGCTGCTGGAGCCCCATGGTAGCAGCGGCAGGGCTCCGTCAGCAATTTAAAGGGCCCAGAGCCCCACTGCGGTAGCGGCGACCAGAGCCCTGGGCCCTTTAAATCACCTCTGTGCCCTGGGGCTCCCAGCCGTCTCTGCAGCTGGTAGTTCCGGGGGTGAGTTAAAGGCTCCGGATCTCCCAGCTGCAGCCCTGGGGCCTTTAAATCTTGATTTAAAGGCCCGCCTCTTCCGGTTGAGGCCACGCCCCTGCCCAGGACTCTGGCGTACCGGTAAGTCCTTTAACTTACTTTCACCCCTGCATGTAATTCACTATGGATTTCTTTGTTCTGTTTCACTACTATAGATTTCAATAATCGTATAATAGTGTCTGGAAATCTTTGTTTAGTGAATTCAAATTTTTGTGACTCTACATGTAACTTGGCATTTTCTGCTCTGATAGTCTTATTCTCTTAAATGAATATCTTTTACCGTATCCCTTTTTCTAGTATTTTACAATGTATGTTTAATGTGTTCCTCAACCATTGTTGAATTAATTTCACAATACTGAATTAATGAATAGACACCCTTTCCAAAAACACCTTAAAAAAAGTTTAGGCATGTGAATGTGGCTCAGCATGTTAAAAAGACAGTCTTTTAGGCAAAATAAAAAGGATACCTAAAAATAAAACAAATGAGCAAAACAGAAAATAGCAGCTGGCAAGCATGTTTTTAAATGATGTTTTTGAGGGATATTGGAATTAGATGACATAAGTTTCTATACTTACATTTTTACAAGGGAAAATGTAGTGAACATATGAAAATTGAATACGCTTGGAGAAAGTCTACTACAATATTAAATCAAGTGTTGGCTCTGCTCCATAAGTTCTTTTGTAGTTCAGTATCTAAACGTCTAATCTATAAGGGCAATTATCTCCTTAAAGATGAATCCAGCTGATACATACGTGGGGAGGTCTCCAAAGTCAGGACTAGTTTAACATTAGGGGATTGTAGACCGAGGGAAATAGTTTGCAGCCCTTTGCATTCATGAGGTGATTGCAGGGGTGAAAGTAGAAATAGGGACTTACCGGTGCAGGGCTGGGTTGAGGCCAGCTCTGGCCACCGGAAGGGGCGGGGCCTCGGGCAGAAGGGGGGGGGTGGGGGGGGGTCAGAGCCAGCCCCAGCCCGCCCTGTCCCTCACCGGGGTAGCGGCAGCCGGGGGCTCTGACAGCAGTTTAAAGGGCCCAGGGCTTGGCCGCCGCTACCGCCCCGTGCCCTTTAAACTGCTGCCAGAGCCCCCAGCTGCTGCTGCTACCCTAGGGCTCTGGCAGTGGGGCTCCGGTGGCTATTTAAAGGGCCGGGGCCATAGAGGTAGCGGGAGCCCTGGGCCCTTTAAATAGCCCTCGGAGCCCCGCCGCTATTCCAGGGCTCTGGGGGCTATTTAAAGGGCCCAGGACTCCCCTGCTTCTACTGCCCCAGCCCTTTAAATAGCCCCCGGAGCACTGGAGTAGTGGCGGTGGGGCTCTGGTGGCTATTTAAAGGGCCCAGGGCAGTAGAGGCAGCGGGAGCCCTGGCCCTTTAAATAGCCCCTGGAGCCCCGCTGCCGCTACCCCAGGGCTCCAGCAGCGGGGCTCTGGTGGCAATTTAAAGGGCCTGGGGCTCCAGCCGCTGCTGGGAGCCCCAGGCCCTTTAAATTGCCGCCTGGGGAAGCTGGGCCACCACGGTATGGCGCACCGGCTCTTGCCGGTATGCCGTACC